AAGCTGGAGAGCCAGGTTTCCCTGAGCCCCCCGGCGCTGTGGTAAGCATCTCACCCTTCCTCCTCGCTGCCCATCACTAGGCCCCCGGACCCCCAGCCCCAGGCCCGCGCACCTGCCCCTCTTCCTCCCACCACCTCACCACCCTGAGTTCCTCTTTGCTCTCCCCCCACAGGGTCCTGCTGGCAAAGACGGAGAGGCTGGAGCTCAGGGAGCCCCTGGCCCTGCTGTAAGTGGCCCTGCAGGGAGGCCTGCGCGGGGCGGGCGCAGGGGGGCAGCAGCAGGGCGACACCTGCCGTGCCTCTCCTGGGCCTTTCTGACCACATTCTCCCCTGACAGGGCCCTGCTGGTGAGAGAGGAGAACAAGGCCCTGCTGGCTCCCCCGGATTCCAGGTGAGGCCTCACAGCTGGCAGGGGGCTGGGAGCGGGTTGGGGGTTCCCCTTTGTTCTCTTCTGAATTCTAATCCCCTTCTCTCCCCTCCCCCATTCCCACCTCCAGGGTCTCCCTGGCCCCGCTGGTCCTCCCGGTGAAGCAGGCAAACCCGGTGAACAGGTAAGAGGCAGGGATGCACAGAGGGAGGGGTTGGCCTCCGAGCTAACTAGACACCGGCAGCTGGAGGGATAATGGTTAGATACCAGGCAGGACTTCCCATGAAGGGAGCAGCACAGAGGGAAGCAGGCAGCTGCGCCTGTGCAGGACACGCTCTGGAAGGAGCTGCTCGGCTGCTAGTCTGCATGACTTCTGCTTAGAGATGCTGGACGTTCCTTCAACCCAAAGTTGGGGGCGTAGAGAGGAAAGGGGTGATCCTAGTTCAGTGCCACAAAGGCGCTGGTCTCTCATCGCAGAGCCTGGGCCACCCCCTGGCAGGAGGGCAGGTGCTTTCTAGGGCTGAGGCCCCGTGGCCTTTGCTCACTGTCTGCCCCTCCCTCCCCCTCAGGGTGCTCCTGGAGACCTCGGTGCCCCTGGCCCCTCTGGAGCAAGAGTAAGTAGAGCCTCTGCCGCTCCCATCCAGATGCCCCGGGCTGGCTGCCTCTGTGGCCACCATCATGAGTCCCTCCCTTCCTCTCCCCCCAGGGCGAGAGAGGTTTCCCTGGAGAGCGTGGTGTGCAAGGTCCCCCCGGCCCTGCTGGTCCCCGCGGATCCAATGGTGCCCCTGGCAATGATGGTGCTAAGGTAAGGACAGCACAGGGACCGGGTCTCACCCCTCCTGTGGCCGGGGACACCTGGCTGTGACCAAAGCCACCTGCTGGGGTGGGGTCCAGGTGCAGCCTGAAGTGCTGACTGTAAGCCTTTACTCTCAGCGGATGCCTGTCCCAGGCCTCGAAACCAAGCCTGGGAGATATTAAGAGGGGCTCAAGGCTATGACGTCATCCTGGAAGCCCAGGCCTCACTCCAGTCCTCTTGGTTGCCATTTAGGGTGATGCTGGTGCCCCTGGAGCCCCCGGCAGTCAGGGTGCCCCTGGCCTTCAGGGAATGCCTGGTGAGCGAGGTGCAGCTGGTCTTCCAGGCCCGAAGGGTGACAGAGTAAGTCCAACCCCGTGTGGTTCCCCTCCTCCAGCTACTCTGGATCCCTGGCCTCTCTCTCCCCTCCCTGCCATCTTCCCCTGCGGCCTCTCTGCTGATGGATCCTCTAGCTGTGGTCCAGGCCCTCCTCTCCCCATGAGTTACCTTGGCAACGAGAGGTGGGGCTTTCTCCTGGATGGGGGACTCCCTTATTCATCCCTGTACACAAGGCAGGGCCTCTTACCCTCTGCCAGCACCTTTTCCTCGGAAACGTTTTTGGGGTCCTGGGCGCGGGGGCAGGGCAGAGCTGGGGCCGGGTCCCAGACACCAGCCGGACACGCTAGGCCGCCTCCTGGCTCCACGCTGCAAGTCTCAGGCTGCCCCGTGCTTCTAGGGCGATGCTGGTCCCAAAGGTGCTGACGGTGCTCCTGGCAAAGATGGCGTCCGAGGTCTGACTGGCCCCATCGGTCCTCCTGGCCCTGCTGGTGCCCCTGGTGACAAGGTGAGTGGCTGCCTCCTTACGGTCTTCCCTGACGCAGCTTTCCCAGCAAGCCTGGACGTGGCTCCGAGCTGACAACCTGAAGGCGGGGGATCTGAAGGGAGGGAGGCCCTTCTGGGGTTAGTCTGCCAGGAGTACGCAGGGAGGACCCTGACCCTGAGCCTCTTGTCCCCCCCATTTCAGGGTGAAACAGGTCCTAGCGGCCCTGCTGGTCCCACTGGAGCTCGTGGTGCCCCCGTAAGTACAGAGTGAACGCCTCGTCCTTGGCCCTTCTCTCCCTCCACCATCCCCCAGCCCTTCCTACCCTCCTCCACCTCTGCTGTCTACCTGGCCCCTGGAGAACCTCCTCAGGGCCCCTCCTCCTCGCCTGTCCCTCCAGCGCCCCCTCCCGCCTCCCCCACACCAGGGCCTCTCTCCAGTTTGCCTCCTTGTCTTCTAGGGAGACCGTGGTGAGCCTGGTCCCCCCGGCCCTGCTGGCTTCGCTGGCCCCCCTGTGAGTATCAAGACTCCCTTCATTTCTTCTCACCAACTGGGACCGGGGACCTTGGGGGCCTGGATGAAGACAGAAGCAGCGTCCTGAGTCGGGAGGGGGAAGGGGCTGGGATGTCTCCCATTCAAGTATCTTCCTGCCCCCAGTCCCTGCCCCAGCCTAGCAGCTGACCTGTGACACTGCCATATCCCTCCCCTCTACTCACCAACTCCCTCCTCCTCCTCCTCCTCCTCCCCCAGGGTGCTGATGGCCAGCCTGGTGCTAAAGGCGAACCTGGTGATGCTGGTGCTAAAGGCGATGCTGGTCCCGCTGGTCCCGCCGGCCCCGCCGGCCCCCCTGGCCCCATTGTGAGTATCCCACCCTCGGCCCCGAGCTGCCACAGGCCTGGACCCCGGGCTGGCCCAGCCTTGACGCCTCTGTGCTCCCCTCCAGGGTAACGTTGGTGCTCCTGGACCCAAAGGTGCCCGCGGCAGCGCTGGTCCCCCTGTGAGTAGCTTACGCCGAGTGTCTGCTGGGCTCCCCGGCGGGTTTGGAGGAAGGGGCGGCTGGGCCAGGTAAGGGCGCCCTTCTCCTCCTGACTTCTTCCTTGTCCTCTCGGCTAGGGTGCTACTGGTTTCCCTGGTGCTGCTGGCCGCGTCGGTCCCCCCGGCCCCTCTGTGAGTATCCCCGGTGGAGGCTCCGCTGCTGGGTGGGGCAGGGCGGGGGGCACCGGCTGTCAGGAGCGTCCTGGGCCTGACGGACACCCCAGGGATACTCTGGAATCCGGTGGAATCTGACAGCCCTCTTCTCCTCGTCCAGGGTAATGCTGGACCCCCTGGCCCTCCTGGCCCCGCTGGCAAAGAAGGCGGCAAAGGCCCCCGTGGTGAGACCGGCCCCGCTGGCCGTCCCGGTGAAGTCGGTCCCCCTGGCCCCCCCGGCCCTGCTGGCGAGAAAGGATCCCCTGGCTCTGAGGGACCTGCTGTAAGTGCGCGCTCCGGAGGGGCCTGGGCGGGGGGGAGAGTGGTTCCTGGCCACGGCAGGGCCCCTCACTGCTGTCGGCCTCCCACAGGGCTCCCCCGGAACCCCTGGACCTCAAGGCATTGCTGGACAGCGTGGTGTGGTCGGCCTGCCCGGTCAGCGAGGAGAGCGAGGCTTCCCCGGTCTTCCTGGCCCCTCTGTGAGTGCCCCCTCTTCTTGGGGGACCCGAGAGGAACTGTCATAGGACTCGGAGGGTGCAGGATGGGGGGTGGAGCCAGCAAAGACTAATGTGCTAGCTGACGAGGGGGCTCTCAGGACCCCCCGCCCCATCTCTGGCCTGACCCTTTCTTCTACCCAAGGGTGAACCTGGCAAACAAGGTCCTTCTGGCTCCAGTGGCGAACGTGGCCCCCCTGGTCCCATGGGCCCCCCTGGATTGGCTGGACCCCCTGGCGAGTCTGGACGTGAGGTAAGCAGTCCCCAGCCCTGTGCGATGCCAGTGCTCACCGCAGGGCCATGGGGGCCTTGGCCTGAGCCTCCCTCCCCCTGGCTGATGCCGACCTCTCTCCCGCTCCCCGCAGGGATCACCTGGTGCTGAGGGCTCCCCCGGACGAGATGGATCTCCTGGCCCCAAGGTGAGACAGCTGCGCCCCCCGGGCCACAGCCGCGTCTGCTGCTCCTCCGGCCCCACCGGGCCCTTCATCTGGGGCTGACCCGGCCTCTGCTCCTCTCCCCTCCCAGGGTGACCGTGGTGAGACCGGCCCTGCTGGACCCCCAGGCGCTCCTGGCGCTCCTGGTGCCCCTGGCCCAGTCGGCCCTGCTGGCAAGAGTGGCGACCGTGGTGAGACTGTAAGTAGCTGGGCTCCCGCTGGCTGCTTCGGGTCAGGCCGGGCCGCTCTGGACCGCTAGGGTCCTGCAGGCGGACATCTGACCTCAGCCAGGCGGGGGGAGGACTGGGGGTCTTGCAAGGGGGCCAGGCCCTTGGCTCCCCGGAAAACATGTGGGAAATTAGGTAGAAATATATTTGAAAACACTTGGAATTTACTAATAAAGAGCTGGAAACTGTAGAAGACATTGAAAACAGGGAATTCACTGGTAAAGGGCTGCAAACTTTGTAGGAAAGTGTTTGAAAACACAAGGGGGCCAGGCCCTTGGCTCCCCGGAAAACAGCCACAGCTCAGCCTCAAGGCCCCTCCCACAGTGCCCGTCGCCTCCGAGGATGGAGTTGTCCCCAGTTAATTGCCCAGCTTACACAAAGCCTGGATTCCATAGTTTCCTCTGGAGCTTGGGAGAGAGGGGCATAGTGGGAGGGATGGGAGGAAAGGGGGATCTGGCCAAGGAGTGGTTTCAACAGCAGCTCGTGCTGGGCCAGCCCTCAGCCCGGGTCTCCCAGGCCCGGATCTAATGCCCTCTCTGCTCTCCCCAGGGTCCTGCTGGTCCTGCCGGCCCCATCGGCCCCGCTGGTGCCCGTGGCCCCGCTGTAAGTCCTGCCCTGGCCCTCACGTCCTCAGAACCCTGTCCAGCTGTGGACAGCACCCCACTCAGTGCTCACGGACCTTCCTCCTGACATCCTGTCCCCTCCACTCTTCTAGGGACCCCAAGGCCCCCGTGGTGACAAGGGTGAGACAGGCGAACAGGGCGACAGAGGCATCAAGGGTCACCGTGGTTTCTCCGGCCTCCAGGGTCCCCCTGGCCCTCCTGTGAGTACCTTCCCCAGCCCCATTGAGCTGCCATCGAGTCTTCTCTTACCCTCTCCCCAGGCCTTGCTGTGTGATGGGGGGCGGGGGCACTTTGGCTCAATTCCCCCCGCCCCCCCGCCCCCATAGTCATTCTCACTTCTCCCTAGTAAGGACTGGGATCCGAACATTTGTGGGCATTTCCAAGGCGCTTCTGAGAGGGCGAAGGGTGTATGGAAGGCCTGTGGGCGGGGTCTCAGCCTGTAGATTCCCTGATTGATGGGGTGGGGCAGGTTGCTGGCCACACTGACCCACAACGGGCCTGAATCGCCTTTGCGTCTCCCTCAGGGCTCTCCTGGTGAGCAAGGTCCCTCTGGAGCTTCTGGTCCCGCTGGCCCCCGTGTAAGTCTCGCCTTCTACCTCCTCTTCTTGGGCCCCAAGTCCAGGTTCACGTCAAGGCTCTTGGCCTGGGACACAGGTGCTCCTCACCTCTCTGGAGAAGGATCCAGAGACAGGGGCTGGGGGAGGGGAAGCAGAGTCCTAAGCCATCTCCCCAGCCTTGGGCATCCCCCGCCCGCTCCTTCTTCCCCCGGGTCTCCTGGTCCAGCGGAGGGAATGAGCAATGATGAGCGCCAGGCGGGGAGGGTGGCGGGCTGCTCCCCAGCGTGGGGCGGTGCTGTGCTTCTGGGCAGACTGTCTTTAACCATCGTGCCCTCTGCAGGGTCCCCCCGGCTCTCCCGGTGCTGCTGGCAAAGATGGTCTCAACGGTCTCGCCGGCCCCATCGGACCCCCTGGTCCTCGTGGTCGCACTGGTGATGCTGGTCCTGTTGTACGTAGCTCCCCATCCTGTCTCCTCGTGGCCCTCCAGCCCTGAGATGCTCAAACCCCGGAGAACCCCACTCTCTTCCCTTTCCTTGCAGGGTCCCCCCGGCCCTCCCGGCCCTCCTGGTCCCCCTGGTCCTCCCAGCGGCGGTTTCGACTTCAGCTTCATGCCCCAGCCACCTCAAGAGAAGGCCCACGATGGTGGCCGCTACTACCGGGCCGATGATGCCAATGTGGTCCGTGACCGTGACCTCGAGGTGGACACCACCCTCAAGAGCCTGAGCCAGCAGATTGAGAACATCCGTAGCCCCGAAGGCAGCCGCAAGAACCCCGCCCGCACCTGCCGCGACCTCAAGATGTG